TAAGGCCGAGACTCGGTGTGGATCCCTTGCCCTGGCATCCTCCTTGCATCGTGCTTTTTCTTCTAGCACGGTTCGTAAGTCGGATGACCTGGGCAATCACCTTGAACTCTCCGATGCCTAAGTCAGAAAACTTGACAAATAGACAAAGCTCTAAGTTCTCAGAAAGATTGTGTTCAATTACCTCCTCCAAGGTGATGCTTGTGAGCTTTTATAAGTTTCCCGTGGCACAATCCTAGTAGGACTTGTACTTCTCCATGCAGAGTCCTCCTAGGATTCATTCTCCTAAGGATAATGCTTATCCTTTTACACCCTCCCCACTGCTTAAACCAAGTGGGATGGTTTTCTTCATGGCCGAACTATAACATGACCGAAATAACACTGGCTCTGCTGAGCCACATAGAAGGCCGAACTATCCTTAGCTCGGTCTTCTCCTCTAACTCCTCACTTCGGCTGCCCCTGTTCAACCTTGGTGTGCTTAGGTCAACCTTCCCAGTAACAAGTTCTGACCGACCTAACCATAGTATGTGACGACCGGACTAATCCCGAAACCGGCCTTCCCTGTACATATCGCGACCGGACTAATTCTGAGACCGGCCTAACTCCAAGTTGCCTCCGACCGGAGTAGCTTTATTCTTCTTTAGACCGAAGTAACTATTTCTTCTTTGAGCCGTAGTAATCTCTCCTCTATAAGCCGAAGTAACACTACGGCTTTTTATCGATTCCTTCACACTTTGGGCCTCAGGGCCCAACTCACAGCTCGGCCCAATTCTTTCCCAAAAATTACCCTCTCATATATATATATATATTTTATTTAAAAAATAAAACCAAACATATAAGACTAGTTAGAAATGGATATCATCGGGTGAACTGTGCCTCTGTTGTGCACTTAAAATTGGGTCCCGCCCATGGAGACAAATGCTTTAGTTTATGATCGGAGTAGAGGATACTTGAGTCTGTGAAGGTTCATCACAGGTTTTGTTTTGATAATTTGAATCGTTAATATGTAAAATTTGTTGAGTATTATATACTTGTAAAAAATCACGTTGATCGGATATCGATTACTACGTGATCAAATCAATTTTGTATAAAAAAATGGACAACGAAAAAATAAATAGTTGATAAAAATCTGATTCGATGAGATAGTTATTGATATTTGATTAACGTTGATTTTTTACAAGTATATAGTACTCAACGAATTCTATATATTGAACAATTTAAATTATCGAAACGGGACCTATAATAAATCCCTACGAGCCCAATAGCACCCTTCAAACTCAGACCAAAGGAAACCTCGGCCCTAATGTTAGAATAGTTTGGGCGTGGTATCATTTTCACTTTTAATATTTTTTGTTTTTTTTTTTTGGTTTTTATGTATCCAAAAGCAATTTAATACAAAATTAGAAATACTCATCATTATTTACTCTCTCTCTTTTTTTTTTTTTTTTTTTTTTTTTGACATTTACATCATGTTAAATGCTCTATATCATGAACAAACATGTCAAAATGCAGTGTTAATTCCCCATATATGTAGGACCTCTCACTTGGGACTGTCTCTGCGACTGCCATTCTTTCTCTTTGAGGTACTGAAGAAGTGGTGGCTGCTCAGCTCTAAACTCTGTCAAGGCACCACCACACCCGTAAGGGCTCGGCCTATGAAACAGCTTCTCTCTTCTTTGATCACCCGTGTGCAGTTGCGGGCCCTCCAAATACACTAACTGGTGAGGAGGACTCAAGGGGTTTCCCCACCGATCACAAAGATCAAACCTTGACACGTTGTCGTGAGGAGCACCATACATATTTCCAAGGGTTCCTGGTGCATAGAAGTGAACCGGCCACGCTTGACTATTGGCTCGATCAAGATTTTGTTGATTCGTGTATTGGTGAAGCCATTCTGAGGAACTCAATCCAACAACCGGTTGGTATCCCGTATTACTCAAATTTGGAATACTCGGGCCAAAACTGAACGGTCCATGATTAGCCGACCAATTCGCATAGCTGCTAAGTGGTGATGCACCAAGAATACCATCTGTCTCTTTAATGGAATCGCCACTAAACCAAATGGCATCATCAGGAAGAAATGGTGCAGATGGCACGGGAGCAGAATAGGGAGGAGGAGAGGGAAATTGCGGAGAATCAACTAAAGAATCTTTGGTTTCGTTGATAGAGAGGCCGGTCAAGGAATCAGGGGCTATTTCGTCAATTGGGCTTAACCCGGGTTCAAAAAAGTCCCCTGCTCCTTCCTCTTTTTCAAATTGTGAAATTTCTCTATCTAGGACCCAAGCACTGAGTGAAGGCGGCCCAGCAGGATATGTAGCAGTTTCCTTCAATAGAGGCTCTCGGTGCTTGAATGGCATGTTGCTTCTGAAACTACCAGCATCAGAAGAGATACTCAAAGGATCGATCTGGTTTTGCGCCATGAACAGTGATGCAGCACGGCGAAAGCATTCATTGGAGGGTGGTGTTTGGTCCTTTTTACCTTCCATAGACATTTCATCATCCATGGTAGAAGTATGGATGGGGACCGAGTTAAATCTCATGATGGGCTTAAAGAGAATGACTTCTTCCTCTTCTACAGCAACAGATTTGCCATTTTCAAACCGGCGACTTTCTTTTTCTCCAATGATATCTCTCCCGTTCTCTTTGGTGTGTCCACATTTACTCTGTTGGGGATCTTTCACTTCAACATCTGAGCTAGACTCGGCTACTCCTGCTTGTCTATGCCAATAGAGATCTTTTACTTTTGAATCTGAATTGAGCTCGGCTACTTCTGCATCTGTCTGGTCTGGAATTTTTTTTGATTCTATTCCGTAGAATTTTCTCCCCAAATTGTCAAAGAAGATCCACTTTGGAGAACCATCTGATCTGTCCACAATTTTTGTTGCAGCATGAAAGATGCGGTGAGCACGACACACATTTCTGCTTTCAAAATTCCCCATATTTGTTGAATGAATCGTGAAATCCAACGACTCATGTGCACGGGCTACCAGTGCGAAGCCCCTCAATTCATGATCTTCCCAAAGAGCTGTATGGTCTTCATATTTAAATCTGCTCTCATTCTTATCAAGTTGGTTTAGAAGGTCGACAAAAGCATCAAAAAAATAAGATACAGCGGCTCTTACTTTTTCACAAGCATGATATGTTTCTACTTTATCGAGCACGCCAACCAACCACTCTACAAACACAAGCACGGGAGGCAGAAGGGGGGTGAGTTCCAGAGGATAATTACCCGTCATACATCTCTCAACAAGGCGAGCCATGCAAATGAATGTAGCAGTCAACGCCGATTGTATCAACATAGGGTTGTTTTTCTCCATTGACTCCTTGTGCTCTGATCTTTCAGTTAGGCTATCGACGATGAATATGAGTAGAGAGACCATTTGAAGGGCTCGATAAGGGCCTGTTCGGGATGAATCCATATGTTGGTAAGACTCCAATGTAGCTTTTAGTTCGGTATCATCTAGTGCCAACAGAGAGTCCATCTCTCTCATGGTCGATGCGAAAGTGCAAGGAAATTCATCCAGGCTGCATTGAATCAAAATCTTAAAGCCTACATCACATCTCAGATAGAAACAAAATATAAACTCCAAAAATGCATAAGGTGAAAGAATTATAACAAGTTTGTCCTATAAGGATCTTCCTGAGTCTTGGACTAATAATCTTTTCCTAGTTCTGAATGGGGAAAATTACTCGGACATCCCCTAAAGTTCGGAACAATATTTGAGTACCCTTGATGTTATGTTTGTCTCTATTACATATCAGATTTAAAACATCATTTCAAATATGTCAAAATCCTAATAGTCTTCTTTTCCATGCTAAATCTTGGGTTATCATAAAATTTTCAAAGAAGGCAGTGCTTAAGTAACCATGTAAGCAGAGGGATGTCTAGGACAATTTTGAAACTTCAACGGCATCCTTTAGTATCATGTAAAATGTGTAAGACCCACTTCCTTTTTGTGTTGTTTAAGCCCATGGTGAGAGTGGATGCCATGAAAACAGTAAACAGTTAAAATTAAGAAATATTGTAAAGCCGTCCATTGTGGGAACCATAATCTATTTATTTATTTATTTATAAAAATTCACAAGAATTCATATTGCAAGTTTGATAAATGGTGGTATTCAATCCATTTCAGAAAAAAGAGAAGGCAAATGAACCATAATCTAAATTCAAGTCATGAATAGAACACAAAAGATGGTGGATTTTGTACTTTTTCAAAGTAAATGAACAAGAACTTTCGCCAAATAACCTAGATACTCATGGAAGGATGTAATTTGATGTTCCAGAATCTAACCAAAAATTAAGTGTACTCCACAATTAAGTTGAAGTGGCAGTGCCATTTAGGCTCATGAAATGGAGTTTCAGCTCTGGATAACTCTCCTCCTAGCCTTGGCTTGTGGTGGTGGAGTCATCAATGACAGTGCCAACTGGGAAACTGTCAATTTATTCGCAACATGACTCACAACATTCCCATATCATTGTTACATGTCCTGGTCAAGTTGAGGATTGTATTGATATTTGATCATGGATTATGAGGCTAGCAGATGAACATTCACTCAAAATCAAAGGTCGATCCGCTATAGAACTTCTACGAAGGACCGTATCTTTTATGAAGATTAGCTTATTAGATGAGGATATTAGAGACAGAGGAATAAGGTGATACTTAATAAGTGGATAAAAACATAATATATGAAGCAGTGTAACAACAGAAAAGGGATAATATTATAGTGAAGAAGATGCATCACCAAAGCATTTCATGTATATACCACATATCAAAAACAAAATGACACATCACTACATACATAATAGAATATGCTATATAGAACCAATATTGCAAGGAGAATCTGCAAGTATGGATTACCTGGATTCAATGAAAAAGAAACTTATCATTCTGACAAAAAGAGGCCATAGATCACTGTTTGCCGAGAAACTGTGTTTAGTGCCTTGCAGTGTATCATTGTTGAAGGAATGAAAGCGCGATTGTGATTCATTCAGTGAGGTACTTCTTTCAAATGGATTTAAGAAATTGAAGTGGGCCTCCTTAGAAAGTGAATGTAAATGAGATGACCTGTTCTGCAAAATCACAAGAAGCAAATGAGTAGTGCAAGGAATAAAAGAAATGAATTACAAATCCGTAGGAATGTTGAAAGATATTATTCATAAGCAAAAATAAGGTGAGAAAAACATATTTACCTTTTCAAAGAGCAAAATAAGGTTATTCCAGGCATCAGGAAAAGGTTCTTTAATGGCTAAACTCCTTATGCAATGGTATAGGGCAATGTAATCATCCCTAACATATGTTGCCAGCAGTGCCAACTTCAAATGAAAACACAAAAATTATTTACCAAACTATTTCCAAAACCTGCATTCGAAAATATTTCTAAAAGCAACTCACATATTAGGAAACAGCAAAATTCTGTTTTTGAATTTTCAAAAGTTGCTTTAGCATAAAAACACACACAAAAAAAAAACAAAAAAAAAAAAAAAAAAAAAAAAAAAAAAAAATTAAATAAGTGAAGAGACAACCAAACAAACCCATAATAAGATCCTGAGCTGAGTAGAGCGTGATATAGAATGAAATACCTGATTTTGGGGGTTCCCACTATCTGGCCAAACTAATGTTGCTTTAAAGTAGTAGGTTGCTGCAACTGACCAGTCATGTCTTGGAAAATCAAGCTTCTTACACAGTTCCCTGTATCTAGCTAGATCGCCAAGACAAACTAAAAAGCGATGGCATGAAAATTGACACTTTCGCAATTTTGCAGGGTCAACAACACGTGAGATGTCATGGTTTTCATAAAACAAAGGATCTTCAGGTAGCTCATAATGTCTTCTGAGTTTTGTGATCAAATCTTGGTAAAATTCAGTTGCTTCTGACAGAAATACCTTGAATCGCTCGATATGGCAATCTATGCTGCTCTGCAGATTGGCAACATTTAGTAGAGTTGATGAATTCGTACTCTCAGAATTTGCAGAAGTTTGCCTAATTCTTTTACGAAATTCATCAATATGCTTATAGTGAAGCTTCCATAAGGAAAATTCAATGTCTTGAAGTTCCACCCCTTCATCATTGTTCAGAATGATTTTCTCGTAACCAGAACGAACTTTGAGATACAAGTCTTGAACTTCTGTTTGCAATAGGCCTTTGGAATGGATGAATGCCCACAACTGTTTTTCTTCATTAGTAACCTGAATGCACAGCAAATTCAACATTCACAACTCATGCATTCTACTAGCAGGTATTGCTGACAAGTGCCCCTGGGGCATAAGAAAAAGACCAAAAAAACAAAAAAGTGAATACCACAAGATACTTTTCTCTAATTTCAAAACACTTTCCATTGATTTCAAAACTCATTTTAATCTTTTACCATTTTCAAAATTTTAATCTTTAAAACACTTTTTACCCAAATTCTAATATTAAACGATGTTCTATGGGCACTTGTTGGCATTTGCCTTAGATAATATACAAAATCTTGCACAAAAGTGAAAATTGGGATGCAATTGTGGATTCACAAAATTACCTCAAGGAAAGGATTCTGCCTTTCCCTGTTATCTTTAAGGGGAACGCACGAATCAGGATTCATGATGAGAGCAAACAAGAAGCTTCGTCAATTGTGAACAAACTTTTTGGTATTGGAGAAATATGTCTGTGCTTGCAAAATAGCCGACCTGTTAACTGTAGAATCCATCCATCAGAAATTTAAGATAAAGACAGAGAGATATTAACTATATCATGATTCATGTCTTCATGACATCTTGTGAGTAAGAAGAACAATATATACGGTGTTTGTCTAAATTTTAAACCTCTGCCAAATCAGACTTTTATCAAGCACAAGAAATGCAAACCGATGGGTTTGTATTATCAAGTGATGAAAAGAGCACTGCAATGAGTCTATAACTGTTAATTCTTTTTTTGGGTAAGTATATAACTGTTAATTCATTCAATTGATCTTCAAAACATTTGCTATTATGAGATTCATTCAGCTCAAGTGCCATGAAAAACAAAAATGTTTCATCCAAATGCGATGTCAAAAGAACACAAGGGCCACAACCTTTAAACTCTCAAATTTTATTAATCAAACTCTGAATATTAATAACACTCCTAATTAACCTATTCTTAAAGAAAAAATAAATATAAATACTAAAAGAAAAAAATTATCAAATTGTAAATAAAGCTTTCATGTCAAAGTCGGTGTCCGCATGCATGAACATTGAACTCTATGTTTTGCATCAACTTATCACTTCAATGAAGAGAATTCATCACTGATCACAATAGACTAAAGCCCCCCAAAACCCTACCCTAGCTATATATCATTTTCAAACCACTATATCCAACAATAAAGGAAAAAGATTAACTCAGTGAAAATAATCCACCCAGTAGATGATAATGAGGATCATCATCATCATCACTGACAAATTCATAATATAGAAACTCTGAGACAGGCATTCAAACATGCAGAAGTCAATTAATCAAGCATTTAATTTAACCCAGATAATTAAAAATTCAATTGATCATAATTACAGATAATAGACAAGATGATAAAAAAGAATTCTTGTAAATTGAAAGATTTATCACTGAAATCAACAAAGAAGTCATCACATCACCTAAAGAAACAACAAACTGGAAAGGGGGAAAAAATGAAAATCCCAAATGATAGCATCAAAATTGAGCAATAAAGATCCATCATACAGAATTTGAGGAAGTTTCTTGATCATGAGAAGATAAAAAATTGAATTAAATGAAGAATATATTAACCTTTAGCCCACTGGAAGTATGTGAAGAATTAACAAAGACCCATGAAATGAAGTGCAAAGACTTTGAAGGCCCAGAAACAGTTCCCACAAACTAGCCAAGAACAAAGGTACACATGTAGAGAGAGAAAGAGAGGAGGAAGAGAGAGAGAGAGAGAGAGAGAGACTTGGGCGGGGAGGGTAACTTGTGGTTCAAGCTAGATCAATTAGAATATATTTTACTTTCTTGGTCATCATTTTTTAAATTGTAATTAGGTCATGGCACAATCCGATTTTTTATTTTGATTTTTGAGTTTATGTATAGTTTAAATTGATATTGGTTGCTAATTATTATGGTCAATTGTGGTGGTTGGATCAATAAATTCTTATATTAAAATTAATTATAATTGATTATGATTGTTTAGTTACCTACAAAAAATTATATTTAATTGTGACTCATTATATTAAATTGAGTTATCACCAAAGTGATATTTATTTATCCTTCATCTCCTATGGGCCAATGTGACTAGGAATTGCAATAGGACGGGTTAGATTGTCCTCGATTTGCATTCTTCCATTCTCATTACCTATTTTGTTAGAGTAGTGGGGACGAGGCAGAGTGGGGAAAATTGGAAAGGTTGTAAGGGAAGGGCTAGGAAGTATTTGCGTAATTTGTCAGCTTTTTTTAGATGAGATGGTACTAATGAGAAAAAAAATTGATATAGTGTAAGAGAGAATAAATGAAAATAATATCCAAATTCATACCGATATAGAAATCCACACACGTTTAAATATGATTAACCTAAGATTGTTGGCCCCACACGATTCAATCAAAATCATTGTAATGTTTGGTTTAGTTTTTAAAATATGATTTAGATCAAAAAATAAAAAATAAAAAGTTTTTTTGGTTAACAAACTTTTAAAATACAATTCAGAATTCAATTTTCTATTTCCTCTCTCATTCTCTCTTTTTATTATTAATAAATTAATCAATCAATTTTTCTCTCCCTTCTCTCCTCTCTCTTCTCTCATTCTCTCACATTTGACACATCAATTAATCAAATTTTTTCTTACACCCATTTATTCAACTAAAAAATTAAAAAAAATTACAAATCATCCCAAAACTATTTTTAAAACTCATAACCAAACTCAACTTTCAGAGCTGTTTTCAACAATTTATCTTTTAAAATACAATTCAAAATTCAAAACTTATTTAAAAAATTAAACCGAATGGAAGTGTTTTGGTTTCAACCCATGAGTTGGAACCTAAAGCATAACTTGAGGATAAATACTAATGAGTAATGAGAGTTAAAAAAAAATAAAAAAACGAGAGATTAAAAAAAATGAAATATATAATATTTTAGTGTGTTACTCTTATTAAATTTAACAAATTAAATCACATATAGACATATAGTATAATATAAAAATTATTTATTTACTTATATAATTAGTAAAAATAAATACCGTCCTCTCATGTTCTTATTGAGACGGGAAAAATCCGCACAAATTTAAGACACCGAATGCGAGGATAGGTGAATTGCATCCGCAAATCTGACTATGACGGCACAAATTAATTTTATTTTTTTTCCAAGTCCGATGACTTAAAGGTTGAAGTCAGGTCGAAGTCGTATTACATGTATTTTTTTTTTCTTTTTCTTTTGGGTGTATTGGAATTCTCCTTACATGATTGATCATATTTTAAAGTTTAGTCATTTTCTATCAAATAAATTTAATATAATTATATCGATTTCTTTATCATAAAAGAAAATTAAGTGTAACTAAAATACATATTATACAAATATATGTATAATCAATGACAAAATATATATTAAATATAAAAAGAAAAGTAACATTACTTTTTGATCCCTATTACTAATAGCATGATGGATGTTTAAAAAAAACGAAGATTTATGAAAATTTAAACATTCGAAAGCATGGTGTAATTGTAAAAAACTTATAAGTTGATTGTATTTTTGTTAAAATAAGTGTAATTTATACAAAAATTTAATTGTAATTGTTTCATTTATTTATTTATTTTTATAAGAACAATTATTCGTTAAAATTTATTTTTGATTGATTTGTTATGAAAACAAATCAAATTTAAATACATTATAAACCTGCTAATTTACCCGTGCTTCATTAATCTTGATTCAATAAATTTATTTACATTATAGAATTGTATAAAAATTTAACTTTTTTGAACTTGTCTTAATCAAATTGAATAGAGCTTGCTCAAGATTAGTTAAATGATAACGGTAAATGCTAACGAGTGTCTTGAATCATTGATCCAGTGGACAGTGTCTTGAAATAATTGAAAAAGTTAAAAATATATGAAATTTAATAGGAAAATGTCTCGTGCCTTGGGAGAACTTGTTAATAACAAAGACATTAAATTTACATAATATTTTTCTCCTTAAATTTTTAAATCAAATTCAAATAATTGATTGCACAACTTGATTAAATAAGGTGTGTTGTGCATTAGTTGGTGTTGACAACGTTGGATACTAGAAGTGGTTAACTGTTTTTATATTAAGACTGAGAACAATTTTTTTAGTAATTTTTTAATTTTTTGACTAAAATATAATATAAAAAAATTAGTATATTTGGAATAATTTTTTAGTTTTTTATAAAAATATGTGTAAAAAGTAGAGAGAAAAGAAAATTTTTGACTTTTTAATATAAATTGTTGATTTTTTGATTTTTTTAATAACTTTTTGGCTTTTAGATTAAAAGTGATGTTGCCAAACGAGACCTAAAATTCCGTTTGGAAATTGTGTTTCCGTACTTGTTTGTAGAAAATTTATTGATAAATTTTATAAGAGAGAATGGCCTATTTTTGAAAAGTGAGTTAAAAGTGATTTTTCAACTTTTAATCACCCCTCTCTCAAAAAAAAAAAAAAAAAAAAGTTAAAAAGTCAAAAAAAACTAAAAAATCAACTTTTAAGCATATTCACAAAACACCCCAATGTTAATTCATTTAGTCTTGAGAATTTTTTTATAAATCAATTAGTTTTGTTATTTTAAAAAGTTGTATTTATTTGATTTGATATCATTTGAGTTTAAGTGAATGTCTTTTTGTAATTTATTTTTTTAATTTTTTAATTCATTTTTATGATGAGAATGAAAATATGAGGTATGAAAGATTCTTTTTGAAATGATTGATAGCTGAAGTGTTGGTTGTGTGTTATATTAGATTGTTATACTAACGAATTTTTTTGTGTGTTACATTGGCGTGTTACATTGGGTAAAAGTACACTAAAGAGATTTTGTGTATTACGTTGATTGGAATGTTATATCTGAAAAAAATACACTAAATAACTTTTTGCAAATGTTATGTTGTTAAGTTTGAATACATTAGAGTGTTACGTTTACAAAAACACAATAAGGAATTTTTTTGAAGTGTTACGTTTGTGTTTAGTTGGGAGATTTGGGAAGGAATTTGAAAAAGAAAATGAAAAATATAGACAGGGCCGGCCCTGAGATTTTCGGGGCCCAAAACCGATAATCAATTAATAAATTTCTAGTGCCCTTCACATTTTTTTTTCATTGAATGAAAAAAAAAATTGTAAGTAAAGGACAAAAAATTTGTGTCAAAATCACAAAAAATACTTAGCATTACATTACAATAACTAATAAGTATCGCTTGATACTCACACTTCTTATATTTTTAGAAGCAAATAAATCAATCATACTTGCATAATCTAATTTGTTTGCAAAATTATTTTCAATGAATAACAATACTAATTATTTTAAATGGGTCTTTCAATTTTTTAATGGATTAATTAATTTTAAGTTAATTAGGGTCTTCCTTAAATTTTTTTTGGACTTAAAATATACTTAATATATTAGATTAAACTATAATAAGAGAAACCCCTTTTTTGGATCTATTTTCAATGGATAACAATGCTAATTTTTTGAATGGCCTTTCAATTTTTTAATGGGTCAATTTATTTAAAGTTAGTTTGGGCCTTTTTTTAATTTTTTTAGATTTAAAACATACTTAATATATTATACAAAATTATAATAGGAGGGGATCCTTTTTTTGAATCTATTTTGAGGGGCCCTAGGCCATGGCCTTGTGGCCTATGCCCCAAAGCCGGCCTTGAATATAGATGAAATATGAATAAAATATATATATATATATATATATTTCACATAGTTTCACACATTTGTTCTATTTTTCTTTTTCAAATCTCTCAACCAAACACAGTTAATTTCAACATTATGGAAAAACTTATATATTAACCCTCAACACAAAACACACGCGTATTTATATTTGGTCCTTTATATAATCCATACTAGAATGAGACCTTTGGGACCATAAGAAAAAAAAATGAAAAACCCCAAACAGTTCATAAGATCATTATTTGAGATTTATAGGTGTGTTTGGTAACGTTTACGTTTTCAGTTTATATTTACAAAAATTTTATCAGAAAACTGAAAACGTAAGTGTTATCAAACGGCACCTAAGTGTTTCACTTTTTGTTTAATTTTTTAAACTTTTTTATAAAAGGTAAAAAAAATTAATGTATTTGAAATTTATTTTTTTAATTGCATCAAAAAAATCATGAATTATTGGGATATTTAGTTTTTTAATTTTTTTAATTTTTTTTTTTTAGTTTAATCAAAAAAAATAAAGTTGCCAAAGGGGACTAAAGTGGAGATGGGGTGTTTTTTCAACTTTTTCAAGTGTTATAAAAGTCTTCTAAAATTTTGATTGGTTTGTTGTAGATAAGAGAAACTTCCCCGAAATGTTGTATAATCAAGATTGACAGGGTAGGTGTATCAGGGTCCCACTAGGACAAAATCCCTTTATTGATTTGAATAGTCATCAATCTTGATAGGCTTCGTTTGGCATTATACGTTAAGATTAAAATAATCACAAAATAATAAAATACTAAAAAATTAATAAAATAAAATATTATGTTTGAATTATAATTATTTTAATTTTTCTCTCATAAAAATTTAAAAAATTTATCCTAAACGAGACTTTTTAATCTATATTAAAAGTCAAAAAATTAAAAAGTTAAGTCACTTCTCAAACGAAGGTTAGAGATCATAGCTATCAATCTTGATCACATTATTTTGAAAAAAAACAAAACAAAACAAAACCAAAAAATTATAAAATTATAAAAATTAAAATTTAATTTCATACAATTTTTTCTCCAATTTTTAACACCATTTTTATCTTTTTTATTATTTTATATTTGTTTT